TAAGGTTGATAAGGACCTAGAGGTATAAATAGTTTCCATTTTTGAATCAGAACAATAGCAGTTAGACTCCCTTGTGGAAGTGGTCCTACTGATGTGGGAGTGATTTCTTGCTTTCATTGGTTAATTAATAAAGAAACTGCCTAGGCCCATTTGATAGGCCAACCCTTAGGTGGGTGGAGTAAACAGAACAGAATGCTGGGAGAAAGAAGCCGAGTCAGGATTCTCCCACTCCAGACAGATGCAGGTTAAGATCTTCCCTGGTAAGCCACCTCGTGGGCTACACAGATTATTAGAAATGGGTTAGATCAATATGTAAGAGCTAGCCAATAAGAGGTTGGAACTAATGGTCCAAGCAGTGTTTAAAAGAATACAGTTTCTGTGTAATTATTTCGGGTAAAACTAGCCGGGCGGCGGGACACAGCCCCGCCGCTCCTAACACTACAGTCCTACAAAACCAGAGAGGCTCAGATTAACTTCTCATGAAACAGGGGAACTATGTATGATTTGGGGGAGAAACCCATTGTTTATATGCTAATTGATCAGGTGTAATTAGAAAAACATCTTGCCATGGCAGGCAAAGCCTAAGAGAAAGGGGAGGTGGGTGAGATAATAAGTACCAGTCTCTGTTCTCTTGGTTCACCTGGCTAACTACTCTGCTATCGGCATTGGCTGGGCCTTTAATTCTCAATCTGATTGGATTAACAGTGGGGTCCTACACTTTAAATTGCATAGCTGAATGGGTAGAAGAAAGGTTCACTGTTGGGGGCTGGAGAGATGGCTCGGAGGTTAAGAGCATTGCCTGCTCTTCCAAAGGTCCTGAGTTCAATTCCCAGCAACCACATGGTAGCTCACAACCATCTGTAATGGGGTCTGGTGCCCTCTTCTGGCCTGCAGGCATACACACAAACAGAATATTGTATACATAATAAATAAAAATTTAAAAAAAAAAAGAAAGGCTCACTGTTTCCCCATCTTGTTTCAGCTGGAGCCATTTTTGGTTTAACAGAAGCTGACCTCCATCTGCTTTCTACCTGCTCTGTGAAAAGTCCCATGGGAAAGCCTGTTTCAGAAACTCAGGGTCAGCTGACTGTCCCATTTATTAATTGTTTCTCTCAGTGTCTGTGCTGCTGGGGTTATATTTAGGAAGTGATCTCCTGTGCCGATGCATTCAAGTGTATTTCCCATTTTCTCTTCTATAAGGTTCAGTGTGGCTGGCTTTATGTTGAGGTCTTTGATCCATTTGGACCTGAGTTTTGTGCATAATGGGTCTATTTTCTTTCTTCTATATGTTGATATCCAGTTATGCCAGCACCATTTGTTAAATATGCTTTCCTTTTTTCATTTGATATTTTTTTTTGCTTCTTTGTCAAAAATCAGGTGTTTGAAGGTGTGTGGATTAATATCCAGGTCTTCGATTCCGTTCCATTGGTCCTCCTGTCTGGTTTTCTGCCAATACAAGGCTGTTTTCAGTACTGTAGCTCTGTAGTGGAGTTTGAAGTCAGGGATTGTGATGCCTCCAGAAGTTCCTTTATTATTCAGGATTGTTTTGGCTATCCTGAGTTTTTTGCTTTTCTATATGAAGTTGAGTAGTGTTCTTTCAAATCTGTGAAGAATTTTTCTGGGATTTTGATGGGCATCATATTGAATTTGTAGATTGCTTTTGGTAAGATTGCCATTTTTACTATGTTAATTCTACCTACCCAAGAACATGGGAGATCTTTCCATTTTCTGGTGTCTTCTTCAATTTCTTTCTTCAAAGATTTAAAATTCTTGGCCTAAAGCCTTCCACTTGTTTGGTTAGAGTTACTCCAAGATATTTTATGCTATTTGTGGCTATTGTGAAGGGTGATGTTTCTCTGCTAATTTAGTTTTCATTGTTGGTGATGTTAATTTGTGCATTTTTCCCTTCTTTGGGATTTGCTGCTATGAGACCATCAATTGTCTGTGTTTTGTTGATGTAGCCATCTTCCTTGGGTTGGGGTTTTCCTTCTAGTACTTTGTATACGGCTGTGTTTGTGGCTAGGTATTGTGTAAATCTGGTTTTGTTATGGAATATCATGTTTTGTCCTTCTATAGTGATTGAAAGTTTTGCTGAGTATAGTAGTCTGGGCTAGCATCGTGGTCTCTTAATGTCTACATAATGCTTGACCACAGCCTTCTGGATTTCATTGTCTCCAGTGAAAAGTTAGGTGTAATTCTGCTAGGACTACCTTTATATGTTACTTGGCCTTTTTCCTTTGCAGCTCTTAATATTTTTTCCTTATTCTGTATGTTTAGTGTTTTGATTATTATGTGGCAAAAAGACTTTTTTTGGATCCAGTCTATTTGTGGTGTTCTGTAAGCTTCTTGTATCTTTATATGGATATCTTTCTTTAGGTTGGGGAAGTTTTCTTTTATGATTTTGTTAAATATATTTTCTGTGCTTTTGAGTTGACTTCTCCTACTTCTAAATCTATTATTCTTAGGTTTGGTCTTTTCATGATGCCCCATATTTCCTGAATATTTTGGTTGAGCTTTTGTTAGATGTAATGTTTTCTTTGACCAATGAGTCTATTTCCTCTATTGTATCTTTAGTGCTTGAGATTTTCTCTTCCTTCTCTTTTATTTTGATGTTCATGTTTGCCTTTGTGGTTCCTGGTTTTTTTCCTCATGATTCCTGTATCTATAATTCCCTCAGCTTATGTTTTCTTTATTGTTTCTATTTCAGTTTTCAAGTCTTGAATAGTTACTTTCATATGTTTGATTTCTTTTCCTTGGTTTTCTTTAAGTGATAGTCTGATGCCTTCCAATTTTTTGTTTGTCTTTTCCTCAATTTCTTTATACCCAAAATAACAACACACAAATTGTATTCTTTTAAACACTGCTTGGCCCATTAGCTGTAGCCCTTACTGGCTAATTCTCACATCTTGACTAACCCATTTCTAATAATCTGTGTAGCACCACAAGGTAGCTTACCAGGAAGGATCTTAACCTGCGTCCAACTCAGAGAGGAGAGGCATGGCATCTGCCTGACTCTGCTTTCTTTCTCCCAGAATTCTGTTCTGTCTACTCCATCCACCTAAGGGCTGGCCTATCAAAGACCAAGCAGTTTCTTTATTAATTAACCAATGAAAGCAACAAATAGATAGATGACACTCCCACATCAGACTTTTGATGACAATAAGAAACATCTGCTCCTGACAATATCAATCTACTTCAAAATGAGATGATGGGTATCAAAAAACCTTCATATGAAGTTTACTTTCTTTGTGGCAAAATCTAGCCATTTGGGCAAGAAACTGCCTTTGCCTCATCTGCTGACAGAATGTTGTTCAAACTGGAAAAATAGGACACAAAAGAAAACAACTGTCCAACTTTGCTAAGACAAGGACAGTTCTTCAAAATTCCTGCTTCACAAATGTCACAGATATTTTAGGCCTGTAGGGTGAAGACAGATGCCCCCCCCCACATTGCAGAGGAATCTTGAGGTGACTGTCTAAGCAGCCATATATAGCTGCTTTTGTCATTTCTTAGTTTTGGAAGTTGCTTGCTCTGCATTTCCCGTTTACTAAGTAATGTTTTTTTCTTCTTGGGTCTCTGACGGGAATTGAGACTAAATAGTAACCATTTTACAGTTTTCCTTATAACCAAATTCAGAAAAGACACTTACATAAGAGTTGTAAAGTTTATAAGCTTAAAAAACAAAAGCTATCTAAAAATATATTTTTAAGTTATCTAAAAATATATTTTAAGATCTAAAAAGATATTTTAGGATGATAAGTTATGACAAAAATGGTTTAGATATAAAACATTGGACTAAGATAAGATAAAAAATGGAATGTTTTCTCTAAATTTGCCAAATATTAATAGATTAGACATTGTGAATCCATTTCTTGATTAATAATTATTCTTATTGTATATAGCTTTACATTGTTAGAGTTAAAACCTTTCCTTTTTATTTAGACAAAAAGGGGGAAATGTTGTGGAATAATCTTTCTGTATACTGTGAAGATGTGTCACTCTGATTGGTTTAATAAAAAACTGAATGATCAATACCTGTGCAGGATTTCCAGGCACAGAGGATGCTGAGAAGAAGGGTGGAGATGCTAGGAGATGAAGAGGAAGCAGCATTAGCAAGACAGAGTAAATGTAACTGAGCCACACAAAATAATATAGATTAAAAGATGTGAATTAATTTATATTATAAGACCTAATAGAACAGGCCTAAGCTAAGGTCAAGCTTTTATAATTTTATAAAAAGAGACGCATCAAAAGTCTCTGTGTGGTTATTTGGAAGCTGGCAGGTGGGACAGAAAACAACTTACTACACTTCATGTTTGCTTGTTTTAATAATGAGAAGAGCTTTGTTTTACACTACTCTTTAGCTTTGAAAAAGGGTAACTGTACTGTGAGAGTTAAGATACCAGGGTGCTGTGGGCAAATAACAGGATGCTATGGTCAAGCTACTCTCACTGCCTTAAGAATCAGATTCCTGAGACACACAGAATGTGCCATTTCCATTTTCCAGAAGGAGCTGGCTCAAACACAAGTCATTCACACTGGTGACTTAAGTGGCTCCATCTTGGCAAGTGACTTGAGCCACCCTAACAGTTCTACCCATGCTGAAGATATCATGAGTGTACAGTGGCTTCAAATAAGAAATCTCCCAGAATCCTAAGGCTGCTATGTTTTTGTTCCTGAAAGTGTGAAAAATAATTTCCAAATGAAATGACTGCATCTTAACTTCTGCATCTATAGGCAAGAATTTAAATATTGTTATCAAAGATCATTAACGACTATATGGTGGTTTGAATGGAAATGGCTCCTATAGGCTCATATGTTTGAATGCTAGGTTCCCAGCAGTAGAACTGATTGAGAATGACTAAAATTACTGGTCTTGCTGGAGTAGGTGTGGCCTTGTTGGAGGAAGTGTGTCACTGGGGCTGAACTTTCAGGTTTCGAAAACCCACACCAAGTTCAGTCTCTCTCTCTCTCTCTCTCACCTCTCTCTCTCTCCCCCCCTCTCTCCCTCTCTCTCTCTCTCTCTCTCTCTCTCTCTCTCTCTCTCTCTCTCTCTCTCTCTCTCTCTCTCTCCTGCCTGCTGCCTCCTGATTCGGATATAAAGTTCTCAGCTACAGATACAGGGCAGGAAGCCTGAATGCTTCCCACCATGAAGATCACGGACTGATCCTCCAAAATTGTACAAGCCCCCAGGTAAATGATTGCTTTTATATTATCTACCTTGATCGTGGTGTCTCTTCTCAGCAACAGAACAGTAACTAGGACTTAATCTGGATTGGTTAATCTTTGTTTTAGTTTGACAGGATTTAGAATTAGCTAGGAGATGGTTAGGTATTATCCAGGAGAATCTGCAAGAGTGTTCCAGAGAATAGAGCATAAATCTAGGTAGGGTCATCCCATGGGTTTGGGGGCCTAGATAAAATAAAAGAAGAAAAAGACAGCTAGCAGAGTGCCAGCACATGCCCTCGGCATCCTGAACCACCTAGATGTGAGCACTAAACTGACCTTTGGTTAGGCAAACTTAAAATATTTACCTGTACATACTCTCAGGAATCAATAATAGAATTCAAATACTCATTTCTCTGTTTCACTGACTAAAGGTGAAAAGCAAATGATGCAGGACAAAGTGGGAAGACAAGAAAAAGACCCTGGAATAATGTATATTTTGCATGATTTCTTGTCCTTGATTCACATAACATAAACATGTATCTTGTCATTATTGAAATGGGCTCATTTTTCTATTAGTATAATTGCTGATACATAATACATTTTCTTGTAAAACACAGCTATACATTTTGGTATTATAACATCTAATTATGCTACAGGAAATAGAAAGTCATGAGGACACTGGGAAAGGCAGTCATTCAGTCACTTGACTCTTATAACGTCTAGTGAATGTATATGGTGGCTATTTAAGAACTTATGTGTGCACTCTACAGTATTTGTTGGAGCCCTGGGAAAAATACAAGACTCTCTGAACCCATGAATTGCTGCCTGTCATCTTCTGACATCTTAACTTAAATATGTGACTTAGTTGATACCATTCCATCTTCCTGTACTTAAGTGGAGAATTTTGTCTTTACCACAGATGTATACCAAGACTGAGATGTTTGGATAAAAATGTATATATATTTGGTTCCTGTTATTTATATTGCAGGCTTTTGCGTATTTAACCTGCTGTTTGGACGGTCTTGCCATTTGGATCACTGGTCTTATATCTATTGGCCTTGACTAAATGGTTATTTTATTATTGTACATATGCTTGTTCATCAGAATAGCTGTAATAACTACCACTATTCAATAAAATTACAAGCATTCTAAAGTTTTGATTTCTGTCAATATTGTGGATTTATCCTTCTGAGTCAAAGTTTCTAAATTTTGCTTCAAAAGTAGAAACTGGGACTGGAGAGATGGCTTGGTGGTTAAGAGCACTTACTGTTCTTCCAGGGGACTTGAGTTTGATTCCCAGCAACCGTATGGCAACTCACAACAGCCTGTAACTCCAGTCCCAGGAGGACCCAATGCCTTCTCCTAGCCTGGAAGAATACTGCATACACATGGTGCACAGACATACAGTCAGGCAAATGCTTGTACACACAATTAGTTAATCAATTAATTGAACAAATAAAAAAGCTTTTCAAAAATAATGTTTATTCATGTATTTTCTGTGTGTGCACACCTACACTTTATTTATTTACTTTGTACACATAGGGGTGTGTAAGTGGTGGTAAGTTAGTCCACAAGAGCCTGAAATAAAGGGATATCAAATATTTGTTGGGGAACACTCATGAATAACAATAAGGTAGAGAACCACCTTGGTTCTATGCCCTGGGGACACTGGAAGCTGCATTCATATCTCCAACTACTACATACGAGAACTAGAGAGACCTGTCCTCTCCCTTATGTGAGATCATGTCCACACACAGAAGCCACCACACCCTAAGGCTGGTACCCAAAAACTATTGACAGAAAGGAATTCCCACAACAGGGAAGCGTTTGCCATGGTGCTTGTGTGAATGTCAAAAGACCGTTTTTGAGAGTCTGTTATCTCCCTCAGTCCTGCAGATCCCAGGGAACAAATTCAAGTTGGCAGGCCTAGCTGGGACTATTTTTACCCACTGAGATAACTCGGGGGAGGCAGAAAACTTTACAAGTAAGCAAAATCAATGAGGCAAGCAGATCTGATCTAAACTGGGAACAGTGAAACTGGACCTCAGTCATTTCCTTTAAACGCTTCTGTTAGAGAAAAACACAACTGAACCTCAGGGCCAAAAAGAAACTTGAGATTAGCCAATAAAGGGAATTCTCCAGGGAACTGTACAAGCTGTTCTGGGACACTATATAAAGGCTTCCCTTGGCTGAGTAGCATCAGCACTTTCTACCTCTTTTAGTTCTGTGCTCTACAACTGAGGGGCTGATTTCTACTCAGCTCAACTTCTTTAAAAGAATCTTCCTTTATTCTAAACTTTAAAGGACATAGAAGAACCAAGCAGGAGATCAGTGGGTGCCAACTTCAGGAGGCCTTCTGTAAGTCTTTTGATTTATAAGGGGAAGTCCAGGTGGGATGGCTGCCCTTGGGAGGGATTCAGCCCAGTTTGCTGGTCTTAGGAAGAGTAAATGCACACATCTGATTTCAAAACCTGAATGAAAATTCAGGTACTGTGCAGAGGTAAGATCCCCATGGGAGACAATGATTTCTTCGAAGAGTGGGTATCTCTCTGTGTCCACAGAGCTACATTATGGACAGGGGTCTAGGAAAGGAGAGACACTGATGGCTCAAGGGAAGGTGGGTCTTGCTCTAGAGGTTGTGCCTGTCATTGAACTCTTTGTGTCCCCTATACTTGCAGTCCTTCCATCTGCACAACCAACCACACAGCCTCTCCCTCATTCCCAGCCCTCTTGTGGGACACGGTCACCGTTCCCCCACTCCTTTCCTAAAGTCTGCCCTGCCACACTGAAATATAGTCACACACCACACACACCAATCCTCTCCAGACACACACACACCACACATACACACAGACACATGACTTTAAAACAGATTCAGATGAGAGCTTTGGAGACTTGAGAGAAATGTACTGACATTAGAAAGAAAAGAAACAAGGCAAGAAGGCAAGCTGACGATCTTGGCAGCTGATGAGATGAAAGGTTTGGGAAAGAAGAAAGACATTACATGCCTAATAAAATACATAACAGACGCACCTGGAAAACAGAAGAAGTTGCCTGGGCCTTTGATCTTTATATTTAACACATAGATGTGCAGATTTGACTGCCTCTCAGGTGACATCATTAGAGTTTTAATGTATGAGCCTGGACCCAGTTATCCCTAACAAGTTAAGCTTAACTACTGTCTTCAAGATGGCAGTCGAAGGGAGAACTTTGAAATGTAGAGAAAGATTCGTTCAACATGGCTACACCGAGAAGAACAAATAAAGAGATCCAAGAGCTGTGGCCCCCACCACCAAGCTCATCTTTCAGCTTTACGTGAGATTTATAATTAGAGTGTCTCTCTTTGGAAAGTCTTCACTCCCTCCAGGCATGAGCCTTGGACACATAAGTGACACTCCAGCTTTTCAGGCCAACCAAAGAAGAAATAAATGATGTTACTGTTTTGTTTTTATCTTGTAGTCAGCTAAACGTTTCATGGTGTAGCCTAGAACTCAGAATCGTGCTAAGACAAAACAATTGTTACTCATTGTAATCGGTTTACCTTTCAGCTTTGTTAACTTTGGGCCAGGAAGGAATGACTGAACAACATCAATTATTATCAGTTTGCCTTAGAGCTTTGTTAACCTCCACCATTAGTTCATCTCTCCCTTGAGCTAGTAACAAGTTGCCTGCAGATCTTTAGCACGTACTGAGTTCTAGCTCAGGTGCATTTCCAGTCCAGCAATGGACGTCCAGTGCTTGATGTCCATGCCTCATGAACAGCTTGGAAATTTTTCATTATTGCTTTTGAAATCTGCTCTCTCTTAATTTTCTTCTAGTTCCCTATCTAGCAAGGCATTGTTGATGTCTGGTCATGCCATTTGTCTCTGAGGAATCTGACATATCTTCAGTGGTTCCTGTGGCTTTAAAGAGTACTTCCTTTGGCTTCAGACCTGCTTAGTATCAGGCTCACATCCTCCTGGTTCCCTCCTCTGCTGAGTTAGCTCAATTTAGGAATCACTTTATTGGGTCCAGGGGGATCGCAAAAAGATGAGAATACCACCAAGTCTAATAAACTAGAAGCAAACTTTATTCCAGAAACCAGATCCTAGGAAAACCAGAAGCAAACTTAAAAATAAAAAAATAAAAAATAAAAAAAAAACACCATGGGGCACAGAAGTTTATCAGCTATCTGAGACCACAGCCAGAGACGCTGTTTGTTAGGCTGTGGCCAACGGCTGGTTTCTGAACCCATCTTTTATAGTTAGAGCACCAAGCATTAGGTCTGAACAAAGGAATTTTTACAATCTTGCCCTGACCCATGGGTTTGTGAGCAGAAACCCTAAGGAGGGGAGTGAGTTCTAATGTCAGTGGGTAACTAGGCAGCTATCATGAAATATGTTTTAGAGTAGATTACAGCGAGAACCACTAATTGCAAGAAAACAGATGTCTTTAGCAATAGTCAGAAAAGGGACCGCTAGTATACCAGAAGGTTAATAAATTAGAATTAATTGGTTCTTAGGCTGAGAACTTAAAACTCAGAAACTGACTGCCATACTTTACAACCTCCATTATCAGAGCTCATCAATTAAACCATTGTATTTGTCCACTGTCTCCTGGTACCTCCAGGCAGTATATACCCCCATGCCTCCCCTTTGGTGGCGCTAGTTTTCCATAACAGAGACAGTGTCTAACCCAGAGGTCACATAACTCTGTCTCCTAAAGGTTAACTCAGTTCACATTTGTTGTTTATCAGGAATGGCCAGGACACTACTCTCAATTTGCGGGGAGGCGCCCTGGCCTTAAATAAAGCAGCCAGTTGTAAAATGAAATGACCTCAGCTGATGGAGGCTTCCCAAGTGTCCGAGAAAATAGCTCACCGAGAATAACTGAGCCTTGATCTGCTGAGAAAGCTGCTGATAGTCTGTTCTCATTCTCCTAGACTTATAACTTTATATTTTTTATTTCTACATTTTGTTTTTAGAATCTACATTTTTACTTTCTTATTCTTGGACTCTTCGACTTATTGGATCTTTTTCACCAACCAGAGGGAAGCCTCACTTCCTCGTCCTATCCAGCTCAAAATGTCACTGTCCCAGGTAAGCAGATTGACTCAGAGCCTGGCTTCATCTGGAGGCTCAGAACAACAGTAGAGGTTTACATCAGAAAACTATTTGTCGCTGAAGGTGTGTACCTTACCAGTAGCTGGAAATCTCCCCTCCCCCAGGAGGCTTTTTCTATCCCCTCTGCTTCCCCCAAGATGCTCATGCCTCCTTTCTCCTCTATCTCACTGTCTCTGTGTTCTTTTTAAATAAAATAAAAAAGATTTTTTTAATTCTTTTTATTTATTTATTTATTAAAAATTTCCACCTCCTCCCATCCTCCCATTTCCCTCCCACTCCCCCAACTTCCCCTCCCCCTTGCTCTCTAGTCCTAAGAGAAGTCAGGGTGCCCTACCCTGTGGGAAGTCCAAGGCCCCCCTCCATCCAGGTCTAGGAAGGTGAGCATCCAAACAGACTAGGCTCCCAAAAAGCCAGTACATGCAGTAGAATCAAAATCCAGTGTCATTATCATTGGCTTCTCAGTCTGCTCTCATTGTCAGCCACATTCAGAGAGTCCGGTATGATCACATGCTCATTCAGTCCCAGTCTAGCTGGCCTTGGTGAGCTCCCGTTAGATCGGTCCCACCATCTCCATGGGTGGACGCCCCCCTCGCGGTCCTGGTCCTGACTTTCTTGCTCATGTTCTCCCTCCTTCTGCTCTTCATCTGGGCCTTATGTTTACAGTGTTCTGCCTACACGTATGCCTGCAAGCCAGAAGAGGGCACCAGATCTCATTACAGATAGCTGAGAGCTACCATGTAGTTGGTAGGAATTGAACTCAGGATTTCTGGAAGAGTAGCCAGTGCTCTTAACCTCTGAGTCATCTCTCCAACCTATCTCTGTGTTCTTGTACACAGCACAAACACTATTCACTCTCTACACAGAGCACTTTCTCTGTCACATTGACTCCAGACCACACCTCTCTACCAGAGCAAACTACCAAAGTATTTGCCTGAGCAATATTGCTCCTCTTCTTTAGAAGACCACTCATATCCAGAGGGAAAATGATTACTTCTTTTCCACCCACACTGGATCCTCTTAAAGACTCAGACTGATATTTTCCCCAATGGGACTGAGAGATAATGGAGGACTTCCCAAAGCAATAGAGACAGGTTCAAAATCAAATTTGTTGTGTCCAAACTTGTTTTCATGTCCTCTCTGTTTATTCTGCTTCCAGATCACAGGACTGCTTGGAGGTGGGTTACTATATCTCGTCGTTTCTGCTATTGTCCTTCTGTCCAAGTCTGCATTCGGGACTGGTAACACCCATCGGTGAGTGTCATTTAAAGTGGGTCTTTCTGTTTTTCTTCCCTGTACAGAAGCAGGTAGAGTCACACAATGTCTGATCCCTCTGAGCATGACCATCTTTCTGTCACTCAATGTTCCTTCTTGTGTCTGTGTTTTCCAGGGAAACAGGTCCTAACAATTACTCAGATGGAGACCCGAAAACATATGGAAACCATTCAAAGAAAAATTAAGAAAAATCCACCATGTAATCAAGCAAATCTAAAGATTCCAAAGAGCATCTATCACCGGAACCCAAGGAAGGCCACCTCCTTCTGTGCTTTCATAACCCAGGATCTCTCTTTCCTTAGAAATGAGGAAATAACCCATTGTTTGCACCTTGAATCTTGTGATTTGATTCAATTTGATAAATCATAGTCAATTAAATAAATAAAAATTTAATATGGCTTTTAACCAAAAGGTCTTCCCAAACATTTATAAACTTGTGGTATGGGTATCTATAAGCCAATCTTAGTATACATATACGCATGTGTATGTGAGAGTTTGTGAGTTGGAAGAACAAATTCTAGAAATGTGATCTGCAATCGCTTATTTATTTAATAACTGTGTATTGAACATTTATTTTATGTGTTAAATGCTTTTTTTCATGGCAGAAGTTGGGTAAATATTGTAAAGATGACATTACCCTTGATTTCAAGAAATATGGGCCTTTGCAAAGCAGACGCTGCATATATTAGTCAGTTGCTCATCATTGTAACAAAATACATGACACAGCCTAGTTATGAGGAAGAAAAATCTATTTAGCTCATAGTTTGGAAATTCTAAAGCATGGCACCTATACCTACCCAGTTCTAGGGAGGACATCTCAGCAAGTGGAAGACAGCAATAATGGAAGCTGTCATTGAGGTGTGCCACAACTAGTCAGTCCAGAAGCAGAAGAGGTGAATGGTACCAGACTAGCTCTTTTCATAGCTACCAATAAGTGTTGGAGCTTCTGAGGGGAAAGGTTTACCCATTAGAAGTGTTACAGCTCTGAGAGGGAAGGTTGCCCCAGTAGAGGAGTTACAACTCTGAAGAGAAAGGTATTTTGGCAGTCAGGAGCCGAAGAATACCACTAAGTCACGCCACACAACAAACCTCACATGAGAGTTTTATTGGGAGAGACACAAGAAGATGGCGGTCTCTGCTCAGTTGAGAAGCAGCAAAAAACATATAGGGTATCATGGGGGGCAGAGCTGTCCTGGGTAGCATGGGATTAGAGGGTTTTATGGCTTGATCTTGACCAGCCATTTACAGCCAACCCAATGGGTTGACTAGTTAAACACTAGTTGTCACTGCTGTACATTCCCACGGCCTCTCACAACCAGTAGCTCTCAGCTGACAGGAAGGTGGGCTCAATATCGCTTAAGAGAAGTGATATTAAGGATTTAAGGATGTTTGATGAGCTATGAACCACTTCTTCTACAGTGTCTAAGCCTAGAGGTTGAGAGAGTTTGCTCATGCTTGATGAGAGGCTATAATAAATGCCTAAACAAGGCCTGAACAAGGATCACACCAATAAACATGCTAGCATAGAAGGGAGAAGGCTGATGGGGCCTCAACCCTAGACAAAGAACTATAAAGCCGCTAAGGAGTGCTCAGAGCAGGAGGAAATAATCTTCCCCAGGGAAGAGAATGCCAGTTGGTTATCTAGTACCAAGTTCTCAAGCCTGAAATCATATTTGTACAAGTAATATTATAAGGACTGAGAAGGACATATGTATGTGTGTCTTATGTAACATATATACATATATATGTATATACATATACATACTATATGTGTATAACAATTTGAGAAAAGGAGGCCCTGAATTTGAGAGAGAGCCAGGGGTTGGGGGATACATAAGAAAGGATTAGAGGGAGGGAAGGAAAGAAAATGATATATTTGTCTTAGTTACTGTCCTATTGTTAAAAGGAGACACCATGATTTAGTTGGGGACTTACAGTTTCAGAGGGTTAGGCCATGATGTAGTGGTAGAAAACATGGCAGCAGGCAGGCAGGCATAGCAGTGACGCAGTAGCTGAGAGCTCACATTAATCTGCAATTTTCAGGCACAGAGAGAGACGCTAGGCCTGATGTGGCCTCTTGAAACCTTAAAGCCTACCCCCAGTTAAATACTTCCTCCAACAAGGCCACGCCTTCTAATACTTCCTATACAGTTCCACTAACCAGAATCAAGCATTCGAACATATGAACTGATAGAGGTCATTCTGCCTCAAACTGCAATAGTAATTATACTTTATTTTCAAATATGAACCTCCAGGCATGGGGCCCTCCCATCAGTCTTGTACCAAGCCTTCTGCCTATTCAACTCCAGTCTAAGAACTACTGCTAGAACTTGTGGAAGTGGCCAGCCCATGACTGGTCTAAACTGAGGCCCATGATACAAGAGAGATCCCATGCCTGATACTGCGTGGATAGCCAGGGACCAGAGGCAGGACAGTACAGAGACCCGGAATAGATCCAAGTACGACTGGCAAAAACGAAAGGTCAATGAAATGATTCCTAAGGACATTCTGCTATACTCACGGATTGGTGCCTAGCCCGGTTGTCTTCAGAGAGGTTTCACACAGCATCTGACGGGAGTGGGTGCAGAGACTCACAACCAAACACTAGGCAAATCCAGGGGAAGCTCACAAAAGAGGAGGAGAAAGAGGGATGGAGGACACTGGGAGAACACTGCCCACAGAATCAACTAGTCAGGGTTCTCGGGGGCTCACAGAGACTGAAGTGGCAATCATGGACCCTAAGCTAGGTCCTCTGCATATAAGTTATGGTTGTATAGCTGGGTGCGCTTGTGGGACTCCTAACAGTGGGAGTGGGAATGTCTCTCACTGTTTTACCTGTTCTTGGGACCCTTTTCTTCCTACCGGATTGCCTTCTCCAGCCTTGAGGGTTTGTACCTAGCCTTATTGTAATTTGTTATCCCATGTTTGGTTGATATCCCTAGGAGGTCTGCTCTTTTTTTTTTTTTCTGGGAAAGGAAGGATGAGTGGATCTGGGGGAGAGGGAATGTGGGAGTATGGAATGGGAGGAATGTGGAGGGAGGGGAAACTCCAATTGGTATATAAAGCATGTAAAAAAAATAAAAAATCACTGTTAAACCATTTTGTTTCATTTTGAGCACTTGTATTGCTTGGATACCTCAAAAGCACATCATCAAAGACTTAGTCCTTGGGTTATCTGGAGAGTCTGGACCTTTGGGATCTGGAACCTTGTAAAAGATCCTTAGATCATTGGTGGTATGGCCACAAAGAGAATTTGGGGGCCCAGACCCCTTCTTCCCCCTTTGCTTCATAAAACCACCGCATGTTCTCCGCCATTGCAGTGTGGCATGCCCACCAAATGCCCAAGTGAACGCTCTCACCCAGTCTTGAACTGGAATCTCCAAAACTGTAAGTGACAATCTTTATCTTTCTATATTATTTACCTCAGGAACTTCATTGATTACCACATGCAGCTTCCAATACAACGGCGTATGCTGTGCTGCGTGTCAGCCACACTATCCTGGGGTGACTCTGCTGAGAAGCTCTTCCTAAGAATGAACTAATTCAGAAAGGACATCCAGATAAGCCATTTCTCAAGGTGTCAAACGGGAGTGTATTAGTCTGGTGGTGGTGTTACTGTCGCCAAATACTTAGAGTGCCCTTTGTACTCTGCAGACACTCCTGACACCTCTGAACTCTGACATCAATTCAGGAGGATGAATATTCAAACCTTAGTAGGGAGATTTAAAAATGGCCCTTCACCTTTAGACTTGAAGAATTGGAATGTTAGATAAGAGCCAGACACAGGCCATCAGCCCATTCATTCCCTATCAGTCTCTGATAGACTCAGTCTCTCCACTTTCCTTTGATTGGTCTTTCTCTCACATAGTAGTGTCAAGTACATTTCTGTGCATCATAAAGTTAAATCAACAACCAGGAGTCAATAGAGGCCATATAACTGCAGAGGGCAATAAAAGCCAGAGAAGTAAGGCTAAACTTTACTTGGATAAGAGGGAAATAAAATGCCATAAAATACATCCTCTGTCATCCAGAACAGTTAGATGCATCCCATGGGATCTAGTAATAACCTCTTCCTTCTGGTGTGTTTAGTGCAGACATCTGAGTGTTCGTTTTAATGTCTGTGTTGTTTTTAAGAAAATGTCTGCAAGCCAGGTATGGCAGAACATGCCTTTAATCCCAGAACTTGCGAGGCAGAGGCAGGTGGAGCTCTGAGTTCAAGGCCAGCCTGGTCTACTAAACGAGTTCTAGAACAGCCAGGACTGTATTTGAGACCCTGTCTCAAAAAATAAATAAACTTTTTAAATGCCTGCAAATAAGTTCTTTATTTATTTAAAAGAAGAAAAAAAAGAGGTTTATTTGGCTCCTGACTCTGACACTAGAAGGTTTAGGCAGGAGCATCTGGTGAGAGTCCCCTGTGTTCATCATAAGAAAAGAGGAAGTAAGGCGCTAGGGAGTGGTGAGGGATTCCCCTCTGTATGCTGTGATACCATTGGTTAATGAATAGAGCTCCATGTAGCCACTGCAGGAGACAGACGCCAGAGGGAACTTTAACGGTAGGCCACAACCATGTGGTGATACATAGATTAATAGAAATTGATTAGTTTAAGATATAAGAGCTAGCCAATAAGAAGTGTGAGCTAATAGACCAGGCAGTGTTGTAATAAAACAGTTTCTGTGTGATTATTTCGGGTCTGGGAGGCTGGGAAACGAACAAGCCACCTCAGCCTACAAGGGAGTTGCAATCTCGCTCCTTTCTAGCAAGTCATTTTCTCAGGAGCTTGTCCAGTCCTGAGATATCCAACACACTCCAAAGGACCAGCACTAAACCCTTCACCAAGCGGGCCTTGGCCCAGCTGCCTCCTACAAGCCACACCTCTCAAAGTCTCACCACCTCTCAATACCACAACAGTAGATTACAAATCATATCTACACCATAGCGGTTTCCAATAAGTACCCAATCAATTAACTCAGTGTTCTAGAAAACCAAGTAATTAACATTTATTGAGTCACTACCAACCATGTTATTTCTGCTTAGTGCACTTTTGCCTGTGTTATATCATTTCATATTAAACAACACAGAGGAGAATTACCAATTCTGTAAGGAAAACAAATACAAAAAAAGTCAGGACTCATCAAGGTTTAATATTGTCATAGTACACCTGCCAGTAACTTATGTGTTCTAGTTTGCTTTTTTGTTTGTTTGTTTTTGTTTTTGTTTTTTTGTTACTGGGATAAAATGCTAGTCAAAAGCAACTTGGAGAGAAAATGATTTCTTCAGCTTACAGGTTATAGGCCATCGTCAAGGGAAACCACAGCAGGAACTTAAGGCAGGAGCCACAAAGGAACACTGCTTGCTGGGTTGTTTCCTCTGCTTTCCTGAACTACTAGGGAGGGGATGGCCCACAGTGGGTA